AGCTTGAGGCTCCGTCTCAAAATAAAAAAGAAACACACGGTAAAGTGGGGCAGGGTGAGGAGCATTTGGTTTGCCACGCAGATCTTAATTCCAGAGGGGTTTCTTTTTTCTGCTGATGACAGCTCTAGGCTTCCTTACAGACTATGGCAACACCAGGTGTGTGGAATGAAGCTAAGTGGGTTGGGCCTGACTAGTACTTGGATGGGAGAATAAGATGGGAATACTGGGTGCTTGGGCCTAATTTTAAATTTTTAAATTTACTCAAATTGTTGAGTAAAAAAGTACTCAACAATTTTTAGTATTAGCTTAATTAAAACATAGCTAGTAAGGGAGCACTTTACAAGCTCATTAATTAAGATTTTAAAATTATTGTGGCATAGCAGTATGGGTAATTGCAAATAATCTGCTTTTATTCTCACCCTGACATTCAACCTATTGGAAATTAATTTTTGAACGTACCCTTCAGAAACATCTTATGAATCTTGCACAAAATCATGACATTTATTTGACTTTCTTCTCTTTAAGGAGGACGTAACACTTTATGTCTGTCCTCTGTGTTGAGCTACTTTGTATCAAGTTACACACATTAAAATTATCTGAGAAATAAGGGCCATTGATATAAACTCCCTGGGGGTACAGAATCAATAAGGAGTAAGAACCCACAAATCACTTGCTGAACGTGTTGCACAAAGCACCATGCTCAGGTATTTATACAGACTGCTGGGAGTAAGACATTAATTCAAGAAGCAGGATCTGTGGGAGGAGCCCTGGCTGTCCCCTCAGGAGAACACGCCTCTCCTGGCGCCCTCAGGGTCTTAGCTACTGTCCAGGGGTCCTGGCGCCCTCAGGGTCTCAGCTACTCTCCAGGGGCCCCATCAGGACAAGAGGCCTGACTCACCACACACTGTAATCTATCACACAGTGTCCCGTTTCTCATGTACGGATAAACCAGACAGAACCGCTCAGTCTCCGTGAAGTATGCAGCCAACTCCAGGATGTTTGGATGATGAAACCTTAAAACAAAAGACTTTTAAAGCCATCAAATTGTTTATTCAAACAATGAACAACGCCCCCACCTCCTTTAGGGGCAGCAGGGTGGGATGGGGAATAGGTTTAAAGCAGAATATAAACTCTGAGGAAAAAGTAATTTCACTGGACACACAACACAAATTTGCTTTTCAAATTGGTCTGGAGTGCTAACAAATACTAGGTACTCTTTCTGATTGACTGTGACCATGTAAATGTTAATAAGCATCCATTACCTTTCTACACTAACAACGAACTGCCTAAAAAGAAGTGAAGGGACTGGTTCTATTCATAACAGCATCAAATAAACCCAAAATTCTACAAGTAAAGTTAATCAAGCAGGTGAAAGATCTGTACACAGACAAGTATAGGTCACTGATGAAAGAAACTGAAAAAAGACAAATAAATGGAAATATATCTCATGGATTAGAAAAATTAATATTGTTAAAATGTCTATATTACTCTAAGTTATCTATAGACTCAATTCAATCCCTATCAAAATCCCAATGGCATTTTTAACAGAAATAGACAAAATAACCCTGAAATTCATGTGGAACCGTGAAAGAACCCAAATAGTCAAAGCAATTTTGAGAAAGAAGAACAAAGCTGGAGGTACTCATGTACAGATTTCAAACTATATTACAAAGCTACAATCATCAAAACAGTATGGCACTGGCATAAAAACAGATACACAGGCCAGTGGAACAGAACAGAAAGCTCAGGAACAAACCTACATGTATATTGTCAACTACTCTCTGAAAAAGGTACCAAGATAACATTAGAGGGAAAGAGAAATCTCTTTAACAAATGGTATTAGAAAAACAGGATACTGGGCAGTACCTGTGGCTCAGTGGGTAGGGCACTGGCTCCATATACCGAGGGTGGTGGGTTCGGCAACAACAACAACAATGACAAAAGGATATCCACATGCAAAAGATCTGGACCCTTGTCTTAGGTCACATACAAACATCAACTCAAAACCAATTAAACCCTTAAATGTAAGATAGGAAACCATAAAAATCTTAGAAGAAAACATAGGAGAAAATCTCATTGGTCCTGGGCTAGGCAATGATTTGTTGGATATTACACCAAAAGTAGAAGTAACAACAGCAAAAATAAGCACCTGGGATCACATTAAACTAAAAAGCTTCAGCACAGCACAGGAAACAGTCAACAAAATGAAGACACAACCTACAAAATAGGAAAAAATATTTGCAAATCATACATTTGATAATGGTCAATACATAACATATATGGCGAACTTGTATGACTCAATAGCAAAAAAGCAAATAATCTGATGGGCCAAGGTCCTAAACAGACATTTTTCCAAGGAACACATACAAAGGGCCAACAGGTATATGGGAAGGGTGCTCAACACTGCTAATCACCAGAGACATGCAAATCAAAGCCACACGAGCCGCCACCTCCCGCCTCCCACAACAGAACGGCTATTATCTGAAAGTCAGCAGTAACAAGAACCAGCCAGGGTGTGGAGAAAACAGAATCCTTACACACTGCTGGTAGGAAAGTAAATCTGTACTGTCATTATGGAGGTTCCTCAAAAACTAAAAATAGGGCTACTGCATGACCCAGCAATCCCACTCTGGGTGTATACTCAAAAGAAATGAAATTAGTATCTCAGAAAGACATCTGCCCACCCACGCTCATGGCAGCATGAGCCACAGTAGCCAAGATGTGGAGACAGGGAGTCAGCCTAAGTGTCCCACAATGGATAAATGGATGAAAAAGTGATACACACACATACGCACACACACAGAGTCACACACATATGCACACATATGTACACACACACACAGTCACACATATGTACACACACACACGCAGACACATACACACAGTCACACATATGTACACACACATAGACATATACAGCCACACACGCATATGCACACACATACACAAACACAGTCACACGTGTACACACACATATATAGTCATACACATGTACACATATGTACACACGGTCGCACATATGCACACACAGTCACACATGTACATACACATATGTATACACATACATATCTACGCATAGTCATATACATGCACATGCACGTGTATGTACACACATACACATCCATAAAAAAGAAAAACAATCCTGCCATTTGCAACAACACGGATGAAGGTGGGGGACGTTATGCTGAGTTCAATAAACCAGACCCAGAAAGATCAAACACTGCACAATCTCACTTATATGTGGACTCCAAGAAAGTCAAGTTCATAGATGCAGCGAGAGGAAAAAGTTTAGCAGGAGCAAGGGGTGGGGGAATGCAGAGATGTTGGTCAAAGGGCACAGGCTTTCGGATAGAAGATGGACAGGTTCTGGGGATGTGGTGGTGGGTGTACTAATTCACTGGGCTGGGGTCATCGTTAGACAACGTGTGTGTGCCACATCAAATGACCACACTGCACATACTGAATATTCAGTGGGTACACTGAACAGTTTTTATTTGTCAGCTAAGTATTTTTTTAAACTGCACTGAATGCAAACATTAAAAGGTGAGAATACACACTAGCTTGGCGAGGATGGGAAACCAGGCTCTCAGAGACAACAGCTATTCAGTGGAAACCACTGCTAGCAGAGGACAGTTGGCACCATACCACATGCAATGCATGTAGCTAACGGATCCTATGATTTTACTGGTAGGAACTTATCTCACAGACACACTCAAACAGGTACAAATAACATACACAAGACTTTCTTGTTGAAGCATAATTTTTGAATAATAAAGAAGTAGAAAAAGGGCGGTGCCTGTGGCTCAAAAGAGTAGGGCGCTGGGTCCATACACTGGAGGTGCTGGGTTCAAACCCAGCTCCAGCCAAAAAACTGTAAGAAAAAAAAAAGTAGAAAAATATAACTCATCAACAGAATGGTAAGTAAAATTACAGTACAGAATGTATTAGAATATGAAAATAAGCAAAGTGAACATGTTTATACTACCTCTTGTATAAAAGGAGGAAAAAAGAGAACAAAACGCCTATTTGTCCATGTATAAAACATCTCTGGACATATACACAAGAAACCGATAACACTGTGGCCTGGAAAAATCATCTGGGTGACCTGATCATAGTAAGTGAGAAAAAAACCCCTTGGTTTACTCTTTTGCCCTTTTAGAATTTTGAAATGTCTGAATCTCACCTTCTTCTTTTTGTTTTGTTTTGTTTTGTCTTTAGGACGGGGTCTGACCCTGTTGGCCAGGCTGGAGTACGGTGGTGTTGTCATAGCTCCCAGCAACCTCAAACTCCTGGGCTCAAGCAATCCTCCTGCCTCAGCCTCCCAAGTAGCTGCCCACCACAATGCCCAGCTAATTTTTTTTAGAATATATTTTGTAGAGATGGGGCCTGGCCATGTTGCTCAGGCTGGTCTCAAACTCCTGGCCTCATGGGATCCTCCAGCACTGGCCTGCCGAAGTGTTAGAATTACAGGTATGAACTACCACACAGCCTGAATCTTACTTTCATTAGCAAATAAACAAAACTGTAACACAGAAACCTTTTAGTATAACAATTTTGGGTTTAGTTTTTATTGACTAAATGATATATACTAACTTTTTTTTTAAAGACAGAAGTCTCACTTTGTCACCCTCAGTAGAGTGCTGTGTTGTCACAGCTCACAGCAACCTCCAGCTCTTGGGCTTAGGCAATTCTCTTGCCTTAACCTCCCTAGTAGCTGGGACTACAGGTGCCCACCACAACGCCTGGCTATCTTTTTGTTGCAGTTTGGCTGGGGCTGGGTTCAAACCTGCCACCCTCGGTATATGGGGCCAGCGCCCTCCTCACTGAGCCACAGGCGCCACCCATACATGATTAGTCTCCAACAATCTGATTCCTAGTCCTGGCTATAAAAGGAAACTGATTCATGGTAACGCTTCTATCCCCACCACTTCCTGCCCCTCGACTTCACATACTGGTTCAGAAAACATCTATAAACGGCATCTCCTATCTGTAAAGGGTAGCACACAATCTGTGCAGGGTTAGGGCCCTCAGTAAGGAGGAGGCACAACTGCAGACAGGACTATACATGAAAATAGTCCCGTTAATTTCTCTCCAAGGACTCTTAGACTCACAAATGAATCCCCCCAAACACTATGCTCATCAAAAGCACTTGATTTCTTTGTCCAAGACTCTCTTCTTGAAGAGAGTTGTTATGCTAATGAAAGAGCTTCAGTACTGGAATGTCTTTAAAGAACAGAGAAAATGGTAAAACACAGACAATTCCCCATTCTAAGAATCATTTTCAGCCCTGTTAGTCACGCGTGATTTAACCCACTCCTTGTGAGTCTCTCATTGACAGATGTTCCAGCAAATTACTTAAGTGATCATTTTAAAAGGTACTTGAAGGGATATACTGGAACAGACGTCAAAAACGTACCCAAAGTTCCAACACCCGACCCATGTACACTAAATGCCACCCTGCCCTGCAGTAAAATCAAAGATGAACAGAGGCGAAACCCAAGCACGAGGGGGGCTCCAGGGAAGATGTACTCACAGCAGTAAAACTTCCAACTCAGATAAAAATCTCTTCCAATGTTTATTGCACTGCACGTTTTTCTCCTAAATATACAAAAAGATAAGAAAAAAAATCAAGGAAAGGACCTCTATTTCTGGGATTCTTAACCTAGGCTCTAGTCTCCCCAGATCAGATGAACTTTTTGATATAAATGCATATGAACAGTTTTCTGGGAAGAGAATCTTTAGCTTTCATCAGATTTTCAAAAATTCATTAGTCTTCAGACAGATTGAGAACCACTGCCCTTGAATTAAAAGTGTTTCATGCAGTATATTATGAGCTAAAATAAAATCTTAAGGCTCCCCCCTCAGCAACTGACTGGACTCCTGCGTGGCCAACAGGGCTCCTAAAACAGTTGCTGGCCCTGAGACAGAGACTGTCTGTGACTCACCAGCAGGGCTGGGGCTCTGCAGGACACAAAGGCAGCCCTCAATGTGCAGAATCAACCACTTGAGTCTGTCAGATACTGTGTATCTCAGGTTTTCCTTTCCATTGACTCCTGGTCTTGTAGATAGAGCCTGACACTTTCAAGCAATTGTCGGCTAAAGAAACTTTAACCCCACCTGTAACCTGTAAGGTCCTGTTTCCAGATGTCTCCCCCTTTGGACCAACCAATGGATATTCTCCAGGTACTGACTTATGACCTCACCTATAATCCCTGTCTCCCTAAAATGTGTGAAACCTAATGGTCACCCCACCACCACAAGTCCATGTGCTCTAGGCTTCTAGGGTGTGGCTCTGTCTCTGTCCCCAAATTTGGTTCAGATAAACCTTCTTAAATTATTTTACTGAGTTTGGCTTCTTTCCAGTTGACAACACCATGTTGCCAAAGTTTCTATTTAAACTCTCTTACCTGGAGCTGGAAAATATTCTTCTTAGCAAAGTATCTCAAGAATGGAAGAAAAAGTATCCAATGTACTCAGCCCTACTATGAAACTAATTTATAGC